AATGCTATCAGATTGAATCTTCATGATATAAAATTCCATTTTCAGGAAGCCATGAAAGTTTTGACAAAGTCTAAGTATTTGGCATATGTTTTTGTTTATAAATCAGGCTTTATTTTAATACTCGGAATCAATAGCAAATGAGGAAGGAAATGTTAAAGGAAATAAGCTGATATGATTATTAAGACTGAAAGCAGCAGGGATTTTTATTTTATTTTTAGTAAATCAGATGTAGGCCGATTTCAAGCTTGCAGGATATCTTGTGTTTTGAAATCCATTATTCAAAGTATATTGTGACAATTGGCAGAAAATTCTGATTTTTAGAAAAGAATTATGAGGCTAGCAATTATTTGAGGATTGGAATTAAATGGAACTCACTGCCCTTCTGTGCAAAAACATCCCTAAATTGATTATATTGAATACCAAGGGTGGTTTGTTTTTTTTTCATTCTAGCAATATAATTTAGGATAATGGGCTGGCTCCTTCCATTGTTGCTATCAGAATGCTGTAATGTTAACAGATGCTTAAAAACTAATCAGGCTTGGATTTTGTTCATAGGATAGCAGAACTAACAGCAAATCCCAGATCTGTGTGCTAGATTGGGAAACACCTCCATATTATTTTCAAGAAAGTTACCAGGATACTTCCATGAAATCACCAGAAGTCAAACTCACCTTTATTCTTCTGATTCTCAAAAAAGAGAGGCAAAGAGGCTAGCAGGATTGACTACAGGCCAGTCAGTTATACCTTCTGCCCATCGTAAACAGAGCCATTAAGAACCATAGCCTTTATTAGACTACAGGGTTCATTCTTGGGGTGATGGTTTCCAAGACATTTATGGAAAAGAGCAATAATGTGTTGCTCCTTCTGCTAAAAGGTCATACTTTTTATTAGGACAGGGTTAAAACACGTAGTAGATAGCTGTTTATCTGTTTTTTATCCCAGACTTCTATCAGGAACTGAAGGTGGCACACGTAGCACTTCCTTCCACCTCTCCCCACACCCCCAAACAGGAGGTATTATTTGTCATCAAGAAGCAAAACTATTCTCTTAAGTAATGCCAGTGCTGTTCCAGTTCAGCATCTCAAGTATAATGTCTCTTTCCTAACAAATGAAGGAGGTAGGAAGAAAATATAGCCGTAACAGTGTCTTGTTTACTTTGCATATTAAAATGATCAGAGTGATAGGAGGAAAGGGTTCTTATTAACTTTGAACCTAAAAAAAAACCCAGGCAAAACGTTTGTACCTTTTTCTAGTTAAATTTTCAGACACTTTGTTATCACATTGTGATAAAATCAGTCTGGTGTTTCGAGCTTTATGGGAAAACAGGAAGTACCCAAACTTTGGGGGGAAAGATTCCAGGATTACCCAATCACAAAAATTTAATAATGGTTTCACAATTCTCCTGTAATTGTGAATTCATTTGATCAGTCATGTTATAAATATAGCTCTTGTAAGTTCAAAACCCTATCAGTTTTAAGGTTTTTGAATTGCCATCTTTCTCACAGAAATTACTGTGCAAAAAGATATTTTATGCTAATATTTTCACTACCTTGGATGTACGGATCTTCAAGGAAAGTGCTTTTTACTTAACTAATTGTTAAACATATTTGCCTTCTGTTTCCCAGGAATCTGAGTGGAATAGGCATTTTTGTTTTCGGGATACTACTATAAATGATACTTCTTGTTGTGTTCTATAAGTGATATTAACCTCATTCAGCCTCCAGTGATACCTGTGAGCGATGAGAAAAAAGATCAACTTCTTTGATTGTTATATCGTGCAGAAAGGCAAGATACATACGATGGTAATAGTAGTCATCATTATCATACAGTAATCCAAGTGGATTTGGCACAGCTTTTTACAGCTGAAGATGATGTACTGATCTCCTGTGTTCTAAATTAGCATATTTACAGGGTTGTTGTTTTTTTAAAAGAAAGTATTTGAAATCTTTGTAAACCAAAAAAATAGCAGGAGAAAGATGGTTGGCTATGTTTGCCACCTATTTGAAAAAAAATAAAGGTGGGGTACAAATAAGTAAAAAAATATATGAAAGGAGTGGCTATAAGGTAGAGGGAGGGGGGAATCTTTGTAAAGCAGATATTGTGTTTGAAATTTTTAATTTTCATTTGAGTTGGTTCTGCCTGAAATATCATCCCAACTACAGGTAATTCCAGAAAAGATTTAGTTGATCATTAGCGTTCTCAGAAGGCAAATGCAAAACATTTTTGCGAGGTGAATTAATCAGAATGCAAAACATTATCCCCTCACACCTCCAAATATTAAATTTATTGAAAACCAAATATAAGGAGAAAAAGATAATAGCTGCTATATGAATTATAATACCAAATCACAATATTTATTTTTATTTGTTTGTTTGTCAAACATGTATAAGATAACAAGTATAGGTATGAACATAAACATGAACGAAGGAAATAAATACAGATAAATGGAGACAGTAAGGCAGGGACAGTAGGCACGCTGGTGTGCTTATGCAAGCCCGCTTTAAGGACCTCTTAGAAATGGGGTGAGGTCCACGGTAGACAGTTTGAGGTTGAAGCTGTGAGGGTTTGAGGCTGTAACAATGGAGTCGGGTAGAGCATTCCAGGCGTTGACTCCTCTGTTGCTGAAGTCATATTTTCTGCAATCAAGTTTGATATAATAATATAAGGTTATTGCTTCTCTAATACAGTAATAACTTTCATATGAAGAAACTTCAAAACAGAACGCTGATTACAGTAGAGATAATATTTGTTTATGCAGGAGAAAGAATGGCAGAACCTGAGGATGGAATGAAAAGAGGAATCTGCCTAGAATTCTTGCATAGCCACAAATGGGTCCAACCTGTCTTGAGTGCCGTTGTCCCTTAACTACGGTAACTCTAACCAAGTGTTTATCATTAGATGAGAAGATTCCTGTCTATAGGCTTTAGCAATAGATCAGTCTAATTGAATCTTCACATGTGGACTTGATCTTTTGCACCTGACAATTTAGCAACTGCAATTGTGACTGACAACTCAGTTGTTAAACAAAGCAGTCACTAAGTGGAACTGTGACTGTCCTTGTAAACACGTTTCCTTTGTTTTACAAACATGTGAAGGTCATGAATGTGAGAAGTTACTTTTTCATCACTGTCATAACTATGAATGGTTGCTAAATGAAGCAGTCACTCAGTGAGGAGCATCTGAGCAAACAAACTGCTTGAAATCTATTTTGCAAGATCTTCTAAATTAATATCAGTGATGTCATGCAAATGAAGAAAAAAACTATAGCTAATACTAGGGAAGATTTCATTAATTGTTAGGATCATTTTTCTTGGTTTTTCCTGTTTTTGAGGCTGATAAAGCTGAGTTGCCACAGATGGAAAAGTCACAGGTTTCCCTCATGACAAAGGCTGGAAAATGACTGGCCAGACAAATCAAGATAGAGGTTGTAATTGCACCTGAAAATTAAGAGTACAAAATATTTAACTCCCTAGATGTTCAATCAGAAATCTTGTATATGTATCTGTTTGGTCCTTCTCTAAAAACCTGCATCTGTCTTTTTCTCTCAGAGGTAATGAGTATGGCAAAAGCTTCGCGGTGACACAGTTGATGCTACCAAATGTGCTCTGTGTTAGAGAATTGTCTTTTATTCTTCTCTAGCTCTAGGAATCACACACAGTTCAGAAGGAATTTGCTATCTGTTGAATTTATAATTGTATAATTATTATACAAAAAAGCCATCACTCTGCTAAACAAATAATTCCCTCAACACTGTTCAACTATTTACTAAGTCTGCATTACTATTACTACTAATCTTCTCGTCACTCCTTATCACCCATCCCCTCCCATTTGTGACTGTATGATTGTAACTTTGTTGCTTGTATCCTTATGATTTATATTAACTGTTTCCTTGTATGATTTGATTGCTTATTGTACCCTATGACTATCATTAAGTGTTGTACCTTATGATTCTTGACTCTTGACAAATGTATCTTTTCTTTTATGTATGCTGAGAGCATTTATACCAAGAAAAATCCCTTGTGTGTCCAATCACACTTGGCCAATAAAGAATTCTATTCTATTCTATTCTATTCTATTCTATTCTATTCTAAGCAATAATAGAATTCTAAACAATTCTATCATTGCTTTGCTGAATTTCTGAGGAATAATAAATCAGATGATTCTGATTATCTTTATAAAATATCTTCCTTTGTTTAAGAAGCTAGCAAACATCTGTTGAAAGATACATTAAGCTCTCCTGATGATTAAGACCAGAAGAAAAGAAAGAAAAAGCAGTGCCCTGTTACTTTGGACCCCTGGCCCTTCAGGTCCAGCAGTTTCTTTTCACAATTCTCATAGATTATCATATATCCTAATAAATATCGTAGATAATTGTTTTAGAAGCATTTGAACAGAAAGGCTGGGGAAACAGTGTGGGGTGCATGAATGCAAGCTTGGGGAGGCCAGGGAAAGAGAAGTGGGGCTGGGAAAGAGGGCATGGTGTAGGCAAGAAAAAAAGGTTTGGGGTGCATGCCTATGATCACACAGAGGCCCCAGGGAAGGAGGATGCTTTTGGCTGCAAGTGGGCAAAGGGGGTGCTGTAAAGGCCAGAACTTCAAAGACCAGGTGTAAGTCCCTTCATTCAGTGCCATTGTAACTTTAAACATTCACTGAACAAATGGTCATAACTCGAAGACTACCTATATTGGAGGGATAGAAATTCATACACTTTTGTTTCTCCTAGCAACCGTAGCAATGGGCCCTATTTCAAAGAGGCACATTTAGGGTTTCCATATAAAGTTATTCACCTAAGTATTTCAGAAAACCTGTAAGTCTAGAAATCTACATATTTTTCAAAAGAAATGTGCTTCCATAAATAAATAAAAAAAGGATGCACCATATTGCTAGATAGTATAGAACATATGTCAGATATTAGCAACTATTTGAAAAGTATTTGAAAAGTTGGAGCATCTGCGGTAGTACCTCCTGTTAAAATGGTGCATTATTTCTTATTCTTTCAGGATCTCTGTTCAGGTTTGCCTTCTGGCCAGATTTGCCATGATGAAGAGAGATTGAAGGTGATATTTACAGATATGGCTCGGCACAAAGATGATGCCCAACAGCGCAGTTGGGCCCTCTATGAAGATGAAAATGTCATTTATTGTTATTTGGAAGAACTGCTTCAGATTCTGGTAATTCGTTGCTTTGGCAGAGACAGGCTCTTTATAAAGTTTATTTGCTCAGCACTTAGATTATTACAAATGGAAAGCAAGTGATAAGATAGCTTAATGCCTGGATGGGCGGTTCACAAAATAGAGACCCTTGAAATCAGGAGAGGCTCACATTTTTGGTGCCAACCGATTAAAATTCTCAAATGGAACAATAAATGTTACTTTCTTAGTGAGATAATAATAACACTCCTAATGCTACAGTCAAGTTAGATGAGATCCTAAATATTATGTTGTTGCCTCTTGGGCTAACTCATCTCAAGTATAGTCAGAATAAATGTTCCAGTAATTGTCAAACTCATTAGACAATTTTTAATCCTCTCCAAGTGGATAATAACATTCATCTTTCATCTGGGTTTGGCTCTTTTTCAAGCAAGTTTATGAGTTTACTCCAAAGGCTCTTAAGTATTTCTTCCTGTAAGAACGTATATAAAACAGAATTGTTGAGAGGGAGAGAGAAACATTCTTGTGGGCAAAGTCTTTCATGTACTTTAATGTACGTACAGTTTTAACACTACCAACATTGGAAATAGACAAGATTTTGGAATAACATTGCCTTTGTTGCTCTCTTCTGAACATTGATTTTTTTCCCGCTATTCATTTTTACAGACAGATGCAGATCCAGAAGTATGCAAGAAGATGTGCAGGAGGAATGAGTTTGAATCAGTATTATCTCTTGTGACATATTATCAGATGGTATGACATTGCATTTAGGGCATATAAGTTTGACCAAATCTTGAATAGTTTAATTCTTCCTTTTATATTAATAAATTTGAGCAGAAGTAAGACAGCATAGTTATAAGAAAGCTCTTCCCACTCCCCCGCCCCCAAATTTCTAGGTTCTCTTATTTTAGGTGTGTCTTCAATCGGTCTGACTAATTAGTAAAAATAGCAGGCAAGGCAGCCTATACTAAAGTATGAACTTGTGGGCAAAGTATAAGAACAATGGCTAAATTACGAAGTCTGGTGTGACCACACTAAAACAATAGAATATTCTCAAAGGTTGCTTTGGATTCTCTATGTCAGGAAAAAAGTGGATGGAAATAACAATAACATTCGGGGTAAAATGCATGCTTTTGTAGGAGATGACCAGGCTGAGCCCAAGGGAAGGGTCAAACGTGTCATCAGTCTCAAGTCCCTTCATGCCCACAAGAGATCTAAGTTCAGCCCACCTTGAATTCCTTTGACTTTTTATCTGCCAATTTGCTTTGAGCATTAGTAGTTCAGATTCTTGTAGAGACCATGAGTTTTCAATACATTTTTATATTCATTTTAAACTGCCTGGATTTCCTGATTTTCCCATGCTTGACAGCCTTGTTTTCCCCAAAAAAGTAGAAATAATGAATACCAGAGTCCCTCCTAGCAATTTGAAAGCTAAATGTAGCTTCCCTACTTTAAGGAAGAGAAGTAGCAGCCTTACTGGCATTGGAAAGATTCCCACAGGTGCCTTGGAATATTAGCAGATTGTTCCCATTTCTTGGTTAATTGAGACACATCTGTGTATTGGGTTGGAAATTAAGCTACAGGTAGTCCTCAACTTGCAACTATAATTGGGATTGGAATCTTGGTCATTGAGGGAAGTGGTCATTAAGTGAGATGGCCACTTTTCTGCTGGCAGCCATAGCCCCTACAGAACATTATTCCCCCTGAAGTTTGGCAGGCCTCTCTCCTTCAAGCCTTCTGAAAAGTACTAAAGACCTGGCTTTACCCCCAAAACACTGGGATAGCATCAGGGGACTGCATGTCAGGAGCCCGACTTAATGCCAGGTGTTGTTTTAATGTTTGCTGTTTTAATCGTTTAATATGATTTTTGTGTTGTTTTAATTGTGATTGGGAGTCATCTGGCGTTTGGTATAAGATGAGTGGCCATACAGTATAAATGTTTTCAATAAATAAAATAATTTGTTTACTGAAATTATTGCGGTCAGCATAGAATAATTATTTTCTGAGTTTACCTGGAATACTTCACTTTCTGAATAGCAAGTAAAAGAAACATACATTATTTATAGTTAGGTATTTTGTTAATTAAAAACAATTTTCTTCTTAAGGAGCACAGAGTTTCATTACGCCTGCTGCTTCTGAAATGTTTTGGAGCAATGTGCAATTTGGATGCTGCTATTATTTCTGCTCTGGTTAATTCTGTTCTGCCAATGGAGCTAGCCCGAGATATGCAAACTCATACCCAAGGTGAGGCATATTTTATACAGTAAATCTTCCTATAGCTCAGACAGAATACAAATTTTTCTTTTACTGATGATATGTTACTACATTTTGAGGCTCTTAAGGAGTATATTCCAAAGCTATATTGCAATAAAGATGCATAGTGATGGTCTGTGTTGAACATGATGTTGTGGAAAATCTGGATATAGATTTAACTAATATATAGTAATAAAGTTATGGATCATCACCTTTTCCTTTTCACTGAGAATCCCTGATACGGGTAGTTAGGGGGGGAATTACATTAAAGACTATAATGGTAACTCCTTTATTAGAATATAGGAATGCTATAGGCACAATATATCTTGAAGAATTTGACAATGGACCCCATAACATGCTGATGGCAAACTGTAAAGGTTGAACTGGAAGATGAAAATGTAGAAGATAATACAGCTGGTTTGAAATTCATTCACCAAAACAAGGCTATTTACTCAATGATTTATCATCAGTTTGGGGAAAAGTATTGACAGAGGTGTCCTAAGGTTCAGTTCCTGGGTCTTCTATTCTTCAAGGTTCCATTAATTAATTGGTAAAGGCGGAATACAGATCAGATTTGTGGATTATATCAATTTGAGCAAACTGGCTAGTATCCTAGAAGACAGAAATAAAAATCAAAACAATATTGATGAATTAAAGAAATGAACAGAAAGTAACAACAAAATTTAACCAAGACAAATGAGGACTTCACTTAAGAAATAAAAACCAAATGTGTAGATATAGGATTGAGAATATATAAGTGGGTATTATTACATGGTAAAAGTTACTGGAGTAATAAACTGAATATCAGCCACTAAAAAAAGAAAATGCTAATTTTGGCTGCACCAACAGAAATACAATTATAAGAAGTAATGTTTTCACTTTATTCTGCTTTGGTCAGATCCTACTTTAAAGACCAAGTCTCATTTTGGATACAATGATACAGAAAAACTTGCATAGATTTGGGAAAAGGAAATGAGGGTAATTGGCAACTACAGATTAAGACAATTTGTTTATATTTCCTATTTCTAAACTGCCTATCTCCCTCAAAGAGCAGCTCTATTGGTGATATGTTTAATATTTAAAAAGAGAGAGAAAGGAAGGAAATGAAACCACTGTCCAAATATCTGGAAAGCTATCTCATAGAAGGTCAAGATCTATTATCTAACATTTGAGGGTGCTGGAGACTGAATTAAGTTACATTAAAAGAAGATAGATTCTGGTAGAATGTTAGAAAAAAAAACCTTAATATTAAGAGCAACTTGACAATGAAACCAGTTACCCAGAGTTGCTGAATTTGTTCAGAGATATCTGTTGGAAATGCTTTGTTTTGGATTTCAAAACTGAACAGCAGATTTGACTTGATCCCCCAAATGGCCCTTTCCAACTCTATAGTTCTATGAAGTTTTTGGTGGTAATCAGTTTTAGCAGCAATTTTCAAAGGGAATCTCTATTTTCCTCGTAGTGCATGACAATTACGTACTGTTATGGAGAAATGAAGAAGAAGGCATGGATGTGGCTAGAACACAGCTTTTTTTTCTTTCTCTCTCTCTCTCTGTCATTTGGAGGAGTTAAAATAAGAACCATGGATTGGGCAAAGTTGTCTGTCCAACTCCCAGAGCTCTAAAACATACCGGAGACTGGTGTTTTACAGTTCTTCATGGCAGCATCTGTAAGGACACTCTGGGTGATCCCAATTCCTCTCCTTCATACAGAGAGGAATTCAGGGAGCCAGTTCCTTCATCGGCTTCATTTTCCATCGTGATCATTGGTTCCACTAAAAGTGAAGTTATCTTAGTCTGCCATTGCTTCCCTGGAAGTCTGCCATAAGGGTGGTTTTAAGGTGGGATTCCGATACTCTTGAATAACTTTTATATTGGACTTCAGCTTTGACAGCAAGAACCATCATTGGCACTTGATGGAGCCCTTGGAGAAACATTCATTTAATATTGGTGAACATTTATTGGCTGTTAACAAAAAGCATGGAAAATTTGCCATAGTTGTTTTGTTAATATATTGGCTGTAGCATCAGCAGGTAGCAGCAGAAGCTAAGCATGGTCCGTTCTGCATGGTACTTAAATAAGAAAGCCCTTGGAACTCAAGGGTTGGTGGGTGAATGACAAGGTTGGAAGAAGACAGGGACAGGTTACTTCACAGCATTGCCAAGAAAACTTTATGCATGGCCAACATTGTCTTATTGGCAGGACAAAAAAAAAAAAGCACTCAATCTTTATAATTAGATAGATTACCTTTATTTTAAATGACATATCACTAAAAAAATCTGATTTAGTAGGAATGACATTTCCATCTAGGATTTAAATAGATCATATTAATAAACATGATCAACTGTTTTAGTATACAGTATTTTCCTTTTAAGAAAAAGCTTTAAGATAAAAAACTTCTAAGAGAATACATTGGAGTGCATTTGCCCTAAGTATCAAAGACAGCTGATAAGACACTAAAATGGCCTTTCTCTACTGCAAACAGAAAAAATATGATAGACACAGAGGGCTGAGCTGGAGAACATTTTACATTTGATCAAAGCCCTGCTCTATCTGGGTCTGAATCTGACCATCAAGACTGCTGGGCAACCTTAACAAAATGAAAAGGGAAACCCTGAATAAGTGTCAAAGCCATGTTAGAACTCATTAGTAGGGATATGCAGTGCTTCTTGTTCAAAGACATACAGGTGCCTTGGAGTGTAGGTATGAATGTAGCACCTATGTACAGTTGTTTGAAGTAGCCACACCTTTCTCTGGGAGAAGATTTGTTGGGCTGAAGAATTCTCAGCCAAATGTGATGCATCATAAAGCATCCTTTGAATACGAAATCCTATGTAACTGTAATAACTACCTTTACACATAACAATGCAATTGCTATAGGATACATTCTGATCCCAGTACTGGATATGGCGTTTTTTATGCCTCTCCTTTTGAGATTTGGCTGTGTACACATACGCACTCACTAGTTTTCTTTTTATCATCGGAGTTTATTGATTGTCTGCCATGTCAGAAGACCGAATATTTCTACGTTTGTTTGCAGAACTTTTGGGACACCATTTCTCTCTGCAGCTTGATAGTGCAGATTAAAAATGATGCTGACACTTCATGTTAGCAGGATGATTGCCTCTGCTTCAAAAAGGGGTGCTGGCTTGCCGCCACCTAAACAGCAGGATTCAATTCCGTCCCTCACTAATTTCAGTCTGTTACATTCTGCTATATTCAGTCATTTCCTCTAAGAAATCCCTGCTATCATTCATTCAGTGTTTATATTCTTTTACCATTGTATTTGTTGGCAGCCAGATAAATGGGGAGTCTCATTGTGTCTTTATCTTCACCCTTTTCCTGTCTTTCCAAGTCCACGTGCATAGCCAGTTAACTCACACAAAATATGCATGTTGTGATAGGGTTTTATTTTTTTTGCGTTTGTGTTGTCTCTTGATACTTCCTTGTAGGTAGGACATTCCATCTGTTTGGTGTCAGACTCTGGCTTTGTGGTTGGTATTTCTTTCCTAAGTGGCATGAACTTAGAGTGGCACTATAAGCACCTTCACCTTTTTACTATTGCTGCTACTCTTACACTTAATTCTGCTTTTCGATGTCCAACAATTCAAGTCTATCAGCAGAGGGACCCGTGAGGTTAGAATAGGAACCCCTCACAAGTCCAGCTACTGAGGTATCAGTTTCAGAAAAAAATGTGTCTTATCTGTTTGCTCCTTGACATGTTTTCTAACCAAAGCTTGTCTTTTTCATGGCTATGTGTTACATCTATTTTGCATGCATGTCACTGCTAATGTGTTAGACTCTTCATTGATTGGTACGTGTTCATTGATGGGCAAAACTATCATGACTCTTTCATTGATGTTCAAATGGTGGTTCATTTAAAATAACAATTGGCAAAGGAGGACTGCAGCAAAAGATGCCGAGCACTTTGCACTGCTTTCATTCCTTTCTAAGAGCTATTTTGTAACTCAGTGCTTGGGTGATTTTTTTTTTCCCCCACCCCATTGCTGTCAAAGAACTGTAAACAGGATTTCTCATGAAAAATGACTTTGCATGGTATAGTGATGGAAGCTTATTTTGGTGCTAGCCACTTGGGTATTGAGGCTGATCCATCTTCTGATAGATTGCAGAGTGTCTAATCCTTTTTTGTGGCTGGCAGAGATCAGGGTAATCCTTGCTGACTCTCAAGCAACTCAGATTGGTGCCAAGCCTGCAGTAGCTATTCCACAGCATCCCAATTTTAGCTTCCCAATTTTAAAGAGAAACATAGGATGGTAAAACACTAGACTCTACCTGATTTTGATGAAACAATACAACACCTCCACTAACACTGGCATTATGGCTGCTGCTTGGTTTTCCTTTGTGATTTATCCCACAGTGTTTCTTGGCTGTAGGATTTTACAATATCCTTCTGAAAAGCTTTATATAAGATACAGCAAGGCCCAGTTAAACTAGAACAGTTGTAATCTGGTCTCTACATCAACTGCCCCAAATTACTGTAGACACAACGTCAATGTTGATCCTGCTTTCTTGAACATCACCTTTCCCCTGCTTGCTGCTTTGTTTTGCAGTATTTAAAGTAAAATAAGATGTACCTTAATGTTAAGTTCAGAAAATGTTGATGTTGACCCAAAACTGTAGGAAAAGCATTTTTCAGACGCTTCTGAAAACTCGTTTAACTATGTGTGTGCTGCCATGAGCTGCACAATATTGTGATTTGCAATATTATAACTTCAGAAGAGAAAATAGTTGATTGTTGCTTTCCCCATAAAATTGTTTGTAACTCCCCTCTTTTAAAAAAAAACAAAAAAAAACTATACCTGTGATACAACAATGGCCTTTTTTGGTAGAATGGTTTGCTTGGGACACTCTTATTTCCTTTAGTTTAAGTAACTAAAACAAATCTTGTGATTTCATATTAATGCATTTATGGAATAATTATGTTGACTTACCTGCTGTCTATTTTTTGAAGTTCTAGTGATTTGATGTAAT